GTTGCTTGTTTTCTCTCGTCTAGTTTTCATTTCCCGTGACAAAAATACTATTAGAAAAAGAATAAAGTAGGAAACACAAATGATTCAGATAATAGCATATCTGTCAAAGCCGTCTTCTGTTTCGTCTTCCCTCTTTCTCTTGACATTTAGTCGGTCATCCTCACTTTTCTTAATTTTCTTCTTCTAAGAATCTCCAGCGAATAAACTCGTACTGGTTTCTTTCTTTAGGCCTTACACTTTAAGACCAGAGATTACTGATCCTACCTTCTGGTCTCTCTCTCTCCAAACTCCTGCCGCCAAATTTGTTTCTCTCTAGATTCTTCTTTTCTTGGTGTTTCTTTATTATTTTTTCCCCAAAAAAAAAAAAAGACAAAAAGATAATTAGCACAAGATACTCGTGTATTTTTTTAACTTGATGTAATTTTATTCCGTTCCATTTTTTTTTTTTTGGATTTTGTATCTATGGGAATGTTGTATTGAGTTAAAAATCAGAGTTTTTTGGGGGGATGGATCGTGTTATCGGCGGCAAGTTCAAGTTAGGTAGGAAGATCGGTAGTGGATCATTCGGTGAAATTTACATTGGTATGATTTATCTAATCCATTTCTTTTCTGTTTTTTTAGTATTTGCTTCTTTGGTGGTTGTTAATTTTGATCTTGGTATGCATGATTTTTTTCAAGGGATTAATGTCCAAACTGGAGAAGAAGTTGGTATTAAGCTGGTATGTTACACAGATTTTATATTATTTGTTTTTTTTACCATTATTCATTTGTATTACCATCTGGTTTATTCTTGATTTCGTCAAAAATTTTCTTGTTTTATTTGACATTTTAAGGTGTTTTGTTGAGGAAAAAAAAAAGACTTGTTATGTGTGGAGTAAAATGAATATAGTATGAATAAATATAACTTGTTTAGTTTTTGATACTGAATTTTGAAACCTGTAGTCTCTATATTTGCATCTTATTAGTGACACTAGCATTTTTATATATGAGATAATTTGATGCTCTGTTCTTATAGACATGGTGTGCTAAGCTATTAATTAATCCACATTGTTGCTAGGAACCCGTGAAGACGAAGCATCCTCAACTCCACTATGAATCTAAAGTGTACATGCTTCTTCAAGGAGGGAGTGAGTTCCTTTCTCCTTCTCATTTCTCCCATGTTTCTGTTTCGTGGAATATTCTGAATTCTTTGGTTTTTGTTTTTTCCGAATAGCGGGCGTTCCCCATCTTAAATGGTTCGGCGTAGAGGGTGAATACAACTGTATGGCAATTGACCTTCTTGGTCCAAGCTTGGAGGATTTGTTCAATTACTGCACTCGGAAATTTTCTTTMAAAACTGTTCTAATGCTTGCTGATCAGTTAGTAAGTAGATGCATTTTGATTTCAAGAATAATTGTTTTGAGATCATTTGCTAAAACTCTTCTTTTGATTATTATGTATAACTGCAGTTAAACAGAGTTGAGTACATGCACTCGAGAGGGTTCCTTCACCGTGATATTAAACCGGACAACTTTTTGATGGGTCTTGGTCGCAAAGCCAACCAGGTAGTATTCCAGTACCCGGCTTTAGTAGAAAAGTTGATGTATATCTTTAAAGTGATCCTAACGAAATTAATTTCAACGTCAGGTCTACATTATCGATTATGGACTTGCTAAAAAGTATAGAGATCTTCAAACACACAAGCATATACCATACAGGTGAGATCTACAAATGTTTCCCTCCGCGTTTCCTTCATGCACTCTTCTTCCATGTTTTGCTTCATTAGAGCTGATTGAAACTTTTACAGGGAAAATAAGAATCTAACAGGAACTGCTCGATATGCAAGCGTCAACACACACCTTGGGATTGGTGAGAACTCATATTAAGCATTAACTGTTAGATAATTATTTTCTGTGTTTTGAAACATCTCTTATATCTGCTTGCAGAGCAAAGTAGAAGAGATGATCTGGAGTCTCTTGGTTATGTGCTGATGTATTTTCTACGAGGAAGGTAGGAAACTATCATGGTTGTGTATTTTAAATGAAATCTTGAAGAAACATGATGTCGTTAAACTTGAGATGGCATGAATCTTCTTGTCTCAGTCTACCGTGGCAAGGTCTAAAAGCTGGTACCAAGAAACAGAAATATGATAAGATTAGTGAAAGGAAGATGCTTACGCCTGTAGAGGTACTTCATTTTCTATAATAGTGTTTTTGTATTTCAAAATCATGTTTAGCTTTCTATAACTTTGCACCTAAACATCAATTTGCTATTTGCAGGTTCTTTGCAAGTCATTTCCCTCTGAGTTCACATCGTATTTCCATTACTGTCGATCATTGAGGTTTGAGGACAAACCGGATTATTCATATCTGAAAAGACTTTTCAGGGACCTTTTTATACGGGAAGGTTAGAAACAAGCTCTACTGTTATTATTCTCCTTCCCCTCTCTGTTACAATATTACTCATGGTTTGCAGTTATATCGTTCGTAAGAAATATTTCCGTGGATTACGTCACTTGCTAATGCATGCAGGTTATCAGTTCGACTACGTGTTTGACTGGACAATCTTGAAATATCCTCAGATGGGGTCTAGTTCAAGACCAAGGGTTAGTGTTTTTTTTGTTCAACATCTGAAGAACAAATTATTTTGAAATCTCATGTTTGCATTATGTCTTGTGTTTCGTTTCCATTAGCCAAATCCAAAACCAGCTCTAGACTCTCCAGGACCATCTGCAGAAAAAGGTGAAAAGCCCACAGGTATAACTTGGTTCTATATCATGCGCTTCTAAGGGGCTAATAAAAATGTTGGCTGCTCTTGGAATCTGAGAATAAAGGTTTAAGGCTTTGTGATTGTTGATAAACTTGGAACTTGCTCTGTGAATCTTGAGATAGTATGTTTCCCTCCTTCAGAAGTTTGAAACTGAAATCTTGCAGATACATGAAGATTTATCTCAGAAGTTGATTTTCTATTTTGTTCAGTGGGGCAGGATCTGAGAGAAAGATTCTCAGGTGCAGTTGAAGCGTTCGCCAGACGAAATGTATCAAGTCCCGGCATTCGCTCTTCAAAAGAAGTGGTTAGTGTTTTTGTTTGCCTCTTTTGTAGCCATACCTCGTTCATGAATTGTGTTTCCGGTGTGGAATCGGCTCAACTTTTTTTTTTTTTATATTACGAGTGTTTGGGATCAAAACAAGTGTGTTCCTATGAAATCAATCTTAAAAATTGTTTACTTCATCATCCAAAGTGATTGAGCTCTTCTTATGTTCTTATGTTTGTTGCAATATGCAGCATGAGTCTGAAAAAACCAGAAATGAGAGTGCCACAAAAAGAGCGGTGGTGTCAAGCAGCCGACCTGGCTCATCAGGTGAGCTGAGCGAGAACCGCTCAAGTAAACTGTTTTCAAGCGGTGCCCAAAAGATTCAACCGGGTCAAGAATCTAAGTCATCCGCAAGGCTTGGACGTGATGACGTCCTGAGAAGCTTCGATCGGCTAACTATTGGTTCCGGAAAACGGAAATGAGTCACAGAAGGAAACTGTAAAGGTTGGAAGAGTCTAAATTGGGAAACTTTACTGTCCATTTTCTCTGTTTCACCCTTTTGGGAAGATGAGGAGAGATTAAATAATCTGCTTCCCTCCTTGATGTGTATATAGGATATGTTCATGTTATAAAGGGGTTGTAACTATAGTACTTTGTTTAGTATTAATTACATGTTGCTAAAATACTCAAAAACCTATTAATAGTTTTTGACTTCTCCTGAAGTGTCTGAGCTACAAAAGTGGTTACCCATGAGAAAGTTTGGTCTGATGCTAACATATAAAATGATTTGTGGAGAAAGAAGAGAACATTCAAATTTTGATGGGGACACTTTGGTTTGGAGAAATCAAGAAGCAAGCTTCTTTGTTTTTGCAAGACAAGTACAATGTTGCTAGACTTGTACTCACCGATGTTACCGAAGCTGAGCTGTGAGTAAAAATAACTAAATTAGCTACTAACTAATAACATTCCATTAGTTAATATCTTTAAAATATATTTTGGCTTTGTGTTAAATTGTTTAGGTTAGTAGAAGAAGCTACAAATGATGATCCTTCTTCTCCAGACGCTAAAACGATGACTAAAATAACCGAGGCATCGTTTGATACTGTGGATTATTGGAGAATTGTGGCTGTTCTTCATAGAAAGTATGAAATAATTCATTTTTTTTCTTCTGGTGATTATGATTATGAATCAACATATGATTAAAATTGAAAATGAAAACAGAATTATATGGAAAGAGGAAGGAGAGATGAAGAAGTGGAGAGAAGCATATAAGGCAATGGTGTTGTTGGAGTTCTTGTTAACACATGGTCCTATTCATTTGCCTCATGATTTTCTTTACGACTTGGATCATTTTCGATTCCTATCCACTTTCCAATACGTTGATGATAATGGGTAATAATCTAAATATTCCAAAAGTATCCAAT